TTTTTGAGATAAAAAAAAATATATATATATATATATATATATATATATATATATATATATATATATATATATATATATATATATATATAAATAATAATCGTTGATTCAAACAAAAGTATGAACGCACTGAGTAGTTTGAAGAGTGCTCAACACCAATATTAGTAGAGCTTTATAATTGTTGTCTTTTCTACTTAAAATTAATTAAGTCGCAGCTCTGAGTTTCACGTTTTCACGATCTTCAGGCGACGATGTATGTTCAACTAACTTTTCCTGCTTGGTGACGTTGATATCCGTTGTGCTGCTTGCGTGACTGAGTTTGCGTGCGTGATTGAGCTTGCGCACGTTCAAACTTTTCGGCCAAGAATCGTTTTTGGTGAACGCACTTCGAGAACAACTCGCGTCTTCTATTTAGCGAGTTTGACTTATCTGCTTTTAGAATGCAAAGTTTCTCTTGGAGGCAAAGGTTACATCTCTTTCCACCGCTGGAATACGAGGCTGCTCGTTTTAGGATAGACCAATTAATCGTGAAGTCCTGCTGCTTTTCCTTTAAGTTCCACACGTATTTTGACAGCTCCGTATTGTTCCTGTATATAACATTATTGAAAGATACCACAATGGTGTTGCATACCACTACGAAAAAGAATGTTTACAATGTTGAAATCACAAACATTAATAAAATGTTAATAAAATCGACCAGTGCTACTGACCTTGCAAAATCCATGTTATAGAGAAGTTATTGCCACTAATCCACACTTTGTAGGCATAGAGATGAAAGACGTTGACACGAAGCCAATGTTGCCAATTCACATGATACTGGGTGCCAATGATTATTCACTAATGAAAACAACCACACCGGCTAAAATTGGAGATAATGGAAAACCAGTGGCTGAGAAAACGAGACTCGGGTGGACAGTCATGTCGCAGGGACGGAAAATTAATCACTCATGCTAACGAGATGTTAACGCTAAGCACACACGAAGACTACATGGAACTTTGCAGTTTAGATGTTCTGGGGCTCAAGGATCGACTTGAAGGTGATCAAACAACCGTGCTTGAGAAGTTCGAAGAACAGTTATAACCTGGAGACAAGATGGAAAATACGAAACAGCACTACCATGGATCGGAAAGCTAACCATTCCAAATTACCAACCAACCTCAACGTTGATCGAGCGAGATTTCAGTCACTATTGAACAGCGGTGTCAAGTAACGAAGTAAATGTACTTTGTTACTGTACTTGAGTACTATTTTTGAGAAGTCAGCATGTAACAAATTAAACCTTTTCTGGAGTACTTTTACTTGGAACGAAGTCGTCTTAAGAAGTAACGTTTTACTTCGTTATTTTCATTTTGGCGAAGTATTTCGTTACTAGCTTTCTCACATTTGTTTAATTTAATTTTACGTGATTTATTCCTGATCTATTTTAATTTTGGGATAGGTAATAGGACCTCTACTTGCGTTTGGGATCTCTCGTTTGTGGCTTACTTATGAGCATTATTTATTTAATGGATTTCTTATATCTTCAACGGGGTTTGGAAAGTACATGTAGGCCATGCGGTGAAATATTGTATATTATGGTGCACGCATATAATGCGTGTGTTCTTTTGTGTCTTTTGTATGTCAATCCATTGGAGAAGTCCCCCCCCCCCCTACACGCTATAAACAATAGTACTTTTACTTTTACTTTGTACTTCAAGTATTTTTTAAGGATACGTTGTACTTTTTACTTAAGTACGTTTTGCCTCCAGTACTTTTTACTCTTACTCTTACTCAAGTCGCTTTATTGTTGATTACTTCTACTTTTACTCGAGTCCAAATTCAAAGTAATTAGGAACCACTGCTATTGAAGCGACTGCATAAACTGCCTGCCTTACTTGAGACATATCATAAAATCATCAAAGACCAAGTGGAACAGGGAATTGCAGAGATCGCACCAACAGAACCTAACAAGAAGCACGAACATTCATTCCACATAAACCTGTCGTTCGGGAACAAAACGAATCAACAAAAGTTCGTATCGTCTACGACGCCTCTGCAAAGGTTAACGAAGATAGTCCGTTATTGATTGACCCTCCACTTCAACGAAAGTTGTTAGACATTCTTGGCATACAAACGCCGCAGAATTAGAAAGTGATGTAAAGGAAGATGGAGAAACTACCTATGCGAAGGAAAGTTTAGGGACAACACCAGCGGAGACCAAACTTCTTGGATTAGTCTGGAACAAATCAGAAGACACTCTGTCAGTGACATTTCCACCAAACGAAAATGAAGTTACGAAAAGAATTGTTCTGATAACTAAGGCAAACATCTGTGATCCGCTGGGATTAGCAGCTCCTATTCTACTCACGGCCAAAGTGATCTTTCGAGATATCTGTGATTCTAAGGGAGTGGTCATTATTTATGGGGAGGGGGGTTGGGAAATGGGAGGGGGCAAACGAAGTTTGACCCTTATAAATAGGGGGGGTCAAAAAAGTTTTAACACAGAGAAAGGGGGGGTCATAAAAGTTTTTGAACTTAAATACCATGTCTAGAGTTCTGATTTCTATAATCACAAATAGCAAAAAAGAAGACTCTGAAAATGCTATTTCCAACGATCTAGAGACTCAAAATTTTCAAAATTTCCCTGCTCGGCGCCAACCATGGTAGCGCCTCGCGATCGTGGGAGTCGGGCCCACTAAGTTTAACAAGCTTTCTACCCCCTGAGTGACCCAGTTGTGGTATTTACATAAACATACCATGCAAGTACACTTAACTGATCAGATTCGGTCTATCAACGCACAATGTAACGCTGTATATCCAAAAATCTGTTTCAGAAAATGCTCACATTTCAGTTCTAGGGGTGGAAAAATACAAAAAATTTTCTGGGGGAGAATACCCCCAGACCCCCTACTAGTACATACGATACCACACCAAACTTTTTGTCACCAACAACCATCTGTCATCTCTCCACACTCAATATAGTATGGTCCCTTTTTGTAGATGCCCACCCCCAGACAAGTTCTTAAAAAACCCTGTGTTCAAATCATTTCGCTGTATGAAGACGGGTCATGGGTTAGGGTTATGGTAGGACAAATGTTGCATTGCAAAGTAGTAACACATAATATATATTTTTTAATCATATATGGTTGAATCATATTCACCAGGGTAAAACATCATGAGCTAGATTAAACAGATTGTCCTAATATCTAACTTTACCTGCAACGCACTTCGCGAAAAGCATAATTTAACACATGACGGGAAAGAGAGAGAGCTAAGAAAGGGTGATGTTATGTTGATCAAAGGTGATGAAAAGAACCGTAATCTGTGGAAAATTGAGATTGTTAAACAACTTATACCCAGAAGAGACGGAGTGGTTCGTGGAGTTAGACTACGTGCAGGAAAATCATTCATGGAAAGACCAATACAATTTCTCTTCTGAAACTGTTCCTTTGAATCCTGCTGCAAAGGTGTTCAAACCAAAGCGCAGAGCGGCTGGTGATGCAAGGAAGAATATTGAACTAATTTATGATTATGAAGAGGAAGAACTTTGATGGGTAGAGACGGTGAATATGTGTAGACGTTCGTGTGTATATAAGACAAATAATTTAAACTCAAAACTTACGTTTATAAATAGGGGGAGTGTGTCGGGAAAAGGTTGATATTAAGTAACCAAAAGTTAAATTTAGAGATGAGGCAACTACCATATATGGTATTGATTGACAGGCATGCTAGATAAAAGGAATGTTGTTATTGGGAATATATGTAACTGAGAGCGATTTTGGAAAGGAATTTAATACAAAACAGAATCTATAACGCGTAATATAATTTGCTCTTATTGTGGGGATCAAACGAAAATCTACAACAACCCTGTATTCATTTAGATTGCTTTGAAGATGTTGTATTGTAAACAAAGAAACGTTAACTATTAAATTTTTAACTTTTATTATGTTTGGTTTTAAAGTTACTTGCTATTAGGCTCTGTTTTTTATCTTTAAATTAAGATTTCCGCCTGATGTATCAATTGCCACAGAGTATCATTGTTTATAAGTACTTGCACTTTTTAAGAAAAAGCACTGTTAGCCTTACACTGTTAACATAATCACCATATTAATATAACTTTCAGAATAAAATACTGAAGTCATGGCAAGTTTTATTCCTTATACTGGTGCTTCAAAGCTTTTTTTACTTTATTTTCATGGCAGTGGTAGTCTGCACTCTAGGGTATGCCAAAAAACGTAAAATCCGCCAAAACCTGCGATACAGAGAGTTAGCACCGGTTAGTACACTTGCTAATCAGAGCATTGAGCATTTTGAGGACATTGGTTAAGTCATAAGTACGATTCATGTTGTGTTATTAAAGTTAAGTTAAGAACAATTCAGGAGAAAGAAATGATTATTTGAAAGTTAGAAACTTGCTTTCGCTAACAATATTGTTAAATTTTGACCTTTATAGTGTATTTTATGAATAATTTAATAAAAAGAAGCATAATTTTTGTAAACCAGTATAATTCGAGCATAATTTAGACAAAAAACGAGCACTACTACAAGCATAATTTGCCGACGAGGCAAACACAACAACGTGGTCCCAATATCAGCTGAAATTTGGGAGCTAAGGAACTTGATTACTCTAAAAAATTGAAGCGTTTTAAAATAACTTTAGCCAAGCGGTAAGTTCGTGTGAGAAACGATCCGGTGTCTGCCATGAGACAGATTTGATGTAACTCCTCCAACGTGGCAACAAGCATTGACGTTGTTTCAATGACGTGAAAATCTTACTTTCACATTGTATTGTATTGTTTTTACGAAGAATTTCTTTGTTTTAAGGGCGGAATTCTTCAGTTTGCGTCGTGTTTTATTACTCAGTCTATTATAAAACTTAACACACAAGTTGTATGTCTTGACGGCAATGCTGAACCTGTGATGTTTTTTTGTAGAGAAGTGCACAGATCCGTCAGGAAACACAAATGCAAATGTGATAGGCAAGGAGTTCTATCATGGCAAGGAAGTAGAGTTTGTCTGTCCCAGAGATTCCATTCTTGTTCCTGCAAGTTCCAGAAACTTGAGATGTCAAGATGGACAATGGAGAGGGACGATACCTTCATGTAAAGGTACGATGAATTAGAAGGATTATTACGCGAATAAAACGTGTTTTCGTTATTGTTGTTTATACTATTGTTGTTGAACTGTTTCTGCTTTGCGGATGTTGTCTGTTGATGTTATTGTTGGTAATAAATTTTTTGTTGCTGTCGTTCTTGCTATTGTCGTTTCTGTCTCTATTATATAGTAGTAGTTTTCCTGTTATAGCTTCTTATCTACATTTTTATTTCTTATTTGTTATTTTTCCTGCTTTTGTCTTTACTTTTTTGTTGCATGCCATATATGGCATGCAACTTTCATATAGCTCTAAATTTCGTGTCATCGTGAGCGTACCGGTGGTCATAAATCATGGGGCAGATTCGTCAAATACGACAAATACCGAGTTTTTCCGACGAGCATCTTCATGTGGATTTTCGTCGAGGAAACGCAAAGAAAATATTGATTATTCGCCGAAAATTTACATAATTGAGAGCCTTAAAAAATATATCGAGGTAGGTGAAGCTTTTCTGTTTTGTTGTGATTTTGGAGTCGTTGTGCGCGCACTGATTATTCATTGCGTTTATTTATATATCGTGAAACTTTCATAAGGCCAGGCCCCTATCCACTCCATTCCACTATTACTGTTATTCCATTCCATTCCATTATGGTGTCCACTATTTATTTATTTATTTATTTATTTATTTATTTATTTATTTATTCCATTTATTTATTTATTTATTTATTTATTATTCCATTTATTATTTATTTATTTATTTATTTATTTGTTGTTGTTGTTGTTGTTGTTGTTGTTGTTGTTGTTGTTGTTGTTGTTGTTGTTGTTGTTGTTGTTGTTGTTGTTGTTGTTGTTGTTGTTGTTGTTGTTGTTGTTGTCCTCGTCGTCGTCGTCGTTGTCGTCGTCGTCGTCGTGGGTTGTTGTCTTGGGTTGTCGTTTGTTCGTTTGTTCGTCTCGTTTTAAAATATTTGCCATTTTCAGCTTCATGTCCGTCCTTGTCACAACTATTCGACGGTTATAAATGGGGTAGAAGTCGAACACATGGTTCTTCAGTTCAATTTCGCTGCTACTATGGCCATAAACTGGTTGGTTCATCTAGAGTGGTTTGCAATGATGGTAGATGGTCAGACCAAATGCCTAAATGCTTAGGTACGTTGTCAGCTTCCACCAGAATAAGCATAAGGCCGAGGTCAAACAAAAATGAGAGCTGCGTGAATTTGTGTGAGAGTTTTCTCAAATCGTATTCCTTGGTTATATGGTGACTATAGCCCAAATAATAACAATGTCTTATGCAAGAGGGGATTATATTCCTATTTTCTTTTTGTTTGATGTACGATTATTTAACCTATTTATTTGGTTGGCTTTTCTTTAATTTTTTACTTAATTTCCGCCAAAGCAATTCTTTCTAATTTCGTTTAAAAATTAACCAACTATTTTGATAGAATATTTTCTATTTTGACCAATTGACTGATATTTGGGGGTGTTACCCCACCTTCCCCCCCCCCCACTGACATACCTCCCCTGTATCGACATCCCTGCCTTTACTTTGACTAGAATTACAACATGTGATAATTGTAGATTTTGGATTTATTCACACAGATAAAATTTGGATAACATTATTTTTAATTTTATAGCCATATGCAATCCAATTCGAAGCATTAGCAATGGATGGGTTTACGGCAGGGGTAATTTAAAAGGAGATAAGCTGAGTTTCCGTTGCAGAACTGACTATATTTTGGATGGCGAGCAGTTTATCAAATGCACTGGAAATAGGCGATGGAATGCAAAGAAACCAACGTGTAGAGGTTGGTAGAAAACCTGTATATGACGGGAGAAGGAGCCGTTTTTGGCTATATGAACTTTCTCAACTAAACTGCGTTCAATAGAATACATATGAATGCATTTATTTTGTTTAGTTCTTAAAAGTTTCATCAACGCTGTGAGTGTTTTAGCGCTATTCTAGAGAAGAGCAGCGCTCCTTTATGGTGTCATTGGTATTTTAATTCATATACGATATAACTCAATTTATTATATAGTACAGAGTGAGATACTGAAAAGTACACAGTGAGATATTTTCCATATCTTCACTACTGAAGATATCGATCACATGACTTTTTCCAATTTGCTTAAGACCACGATATTTAACAATTTTTTGCTTGGGACTATATGATAAACAGAACATTATACGATGGCTTGAAGGTATGACTTTTATCTTCTCGTGTTAAAACAATATGTTATACTCACTCGCTGCGCTCGTTCGTAAAATATTGTTTCCACCACTAGAAGATAAAAGTCATATCTTCGCGCTGCCATGTAATATCCTTTATGTGTGTCCATTCTCTTTTCCGAGGAAAATATTGCAAGACTAAGTTTGAGGCAGCAATTTCTTCAGAATATAATAACTCCTTGTTTTAACTAATAATGTAATAGAAAATACAGTAGACTACAAACTCCAGATACTTTTTACATCAAATACTTTATTATTCATATTCTTAAGAATACGAACGTTGTCAGTCGGCAATACTTTCGTATTATATTTCATGCCCCTGCATGCTTAACAATTATTCTGCAACGAAGTGGAGGTCAATGGTACAACGATATTCATGCACCGATTCATCATTTCATACAATGAAAATATTGTTAAAATAATTTGTATTCCAGCTCCCATGATATAGTTGTAAATACAGCAGTATTTACAAGCTTTTAGTAGGCTATTAAAGTTTATTCATTACAAATAGCTTTAAAGAATACCTCTGCACACTGTTAAACAAAATTTTATGGTTTGGCGGAAATACAGCTTCGTTTGGTAAAACATTGCTCGTCTGTAACCGGAACAAACCTGGAAGACATTTTGGTTTGGTCCGGAGATGAATCGTGCAAGGATATCCGGAGCTGAGCAACCAATCAAATTGCGCGAAAAGCACTATTCACCCCCCCCCGAGTATATATGCTAATACTGATTATAGTTTTATTTATCAAACATTATACATGTATATGTTTTAATCTTCAGCTCCTTGCAGACGGTTTGGTGTGCAACCATTCCGTGGTGGTTATATAAGGCGAGATGGTTACAAACATAATGAGGAAGTGACATTTGGATGTAGAGATCCTTTGGTTATTGATGGTCAGGTTACCTTACGTTGCAATGATGGGACATGGAATGACAGACTACCTACTTGTGGAGGTTTGTGTTTATTTTCCTAAAGGCTATAGGGTCGAGTTTTGATCGACTGAAACAACGTGATAGCCGAAAACACCATCTTGGTTCTTCCCTTAATCTGCAATCTGGAAGTTTCAGTTCACAATCTCATTTCAAATATTTTACAATTATTGGACGTGGTTGAGCAAAATATCGTGATTTGTCAGTGGCGTGCACATCACTATACTGATTTTCAGGTTCAACAATACGCACGTCCAATAATTGATTGACCGTACTATTTCATATTTTGCATGCAATTATTCACTGTGATTTCTGTTATTCTTATTGCATTGCACCAGTTTTTAAAATTAACAAACCAGTCCATGCAACACAAATCGTCCCAGTGTCAGCCAAAACTGATCAACTTTAGATGCCTGTAACTTGCCTTGAAATACACGAAATACATTTAAACATGTATTTAAGGCAGATTTTGTTATTTTTTTGTCTTTCTGATATGTTTTTCGAAGCGAACACGAAAAAATTGTTTCCCGACAAAGCCCTTAAGGCCCTGTTACACGGTGCAATTTTTCATGCAACTTGTCTCGCAATGGCGTTGCGAGACACGTTGCACGAGTCATTGCACCGTTTAACATGCCTTGCAATGGTCAAAATCGTTGCGAGACAAGTTGCATGAAGCATTGCAGAGAGTAGAAGTCGGTTCTACTTTTGGCAACGATTGCACTAATTATTTTAAGCGTTGCAGCGTGTAACATGGCTTCGTGCAACTTGTCTCGCAATGTTTATAGCTTGGAGAGTTCCTATTGGCTCTCCCCAGTACACACTTTATTTTAATTAAAATTTGGCGCCAAATAGCGCCTCTTCCTAGTCTCTTCGCATGCCTCTGTCCCGTATCGTTGCGAGTTGCATGAAAATCATTGCAGCGTGTAACGCCTCTTGCAATGCATTATCAAAATCTTTTTATAAACATTGCGAGACAAGTTGCATGAAAAATTGCACCGTGTAACAGGGCCTTTATGCTACGAAATTCCATACCATTTTAATTATGATTGCATTGTAAAACTAGAGGGCACTCAGAGACTGCATACCTCCGCCCGTTACTCGGAAGTGAAACGCAACCTTGGAATTTCCTAAGAAATCCACTTTATAATTCTTAAGCATAAAAGATTTCAGGCCCCCGCGAATTGAAATCGAATTGCTAAAGATCATATTACTGTTGTTGTACTGTACAGTACTTGTAAAATAAAAACTTATTAAGTGTCATTAAATAAATGCATAAATTTTGCTTTATGCACTCGCGCGTGCAGTAATTTTCACTGTTGTGCTATTTTAAATTCCCAGGCAGCTAAAATCTTTTGTCTTTAAAACAATGTCGATTTCTTGGGAAATTCCGAGGTTGCGTTCTTTTTATACACCCTGTATTGAAGTAATCTAATTGGTTAGAATTTGAATGGACTGGCACTTTGCTGAACGTAATAATGCGTAACTCCGTAAGCCTTGTTTTAGACATTGAATTTCGGTCGCGTGAAATGCAACTAAGACAATAGATAATGAAGGCCGAAGCTTAATGAGGTTTATCATCTCATTATTGTCTTAGCACTGAGTGCATAAATTATACATGTCCTAATTACGCATTCAGTAATATTTTTTGTTAATTGACCGGAAAAAGCAAGACAAAATTTTGTTCATTTCTCGTTCAATTTTTAACCAAATTCAACCAAATTTTAATCAGTTCTTCCTTAGCCGATGGGAAATGCATTCAAAAAATTTCGTATGAATATGTTAGGTATTTCTTGAGTTATCGTGCTCACAGACAAACACACACACACACATACACACACACACACACACACACATACAAACCCAGATGATTACATAACCTCCTGGCGGAGGTAACAAACCCAGATGATTACATAACCTCCTGGCGGAGGTAATTAATTTAAAATGACTAGTAACATACTTTGCCAAACTACCGTAACCTTAGCTTGTTTCTTTCTTGAAATATTTTTAAATATTTGACATGCGAATTATCTTAACTATGTCATAATGCGTAATCGCTTTCTGAACGAACTTATATATTATAGACTGGGCCTTATATATTATAGAGCTATTATAGACTGGGCCGTAGCTAGACCGATAATTGG